CCCCCCCCCCCCCGGGCCGAAAAAAAAGAAAAGAAAATTGTTTTATTATTGATGACGTGTAATATATTCGTAGTTTCATTATTACGCTTTGAACTTAAAATATACAACTAAACAAATATTATGATAATTAAATAATTATATTGATAGGTGTTTGAAAATTTTGTTAACTATGTTGTTTTTATATTCCAATAGCTATTAATTTACTGTAAAGTAAAAGTAAACTGTAAATTGGTAAAAAATGTTGTATAAAATAATATCTATTTATAGCAGTTATTTATCTTATTTATCTGTGCACCAAAAAAAAAAAAGATAACGATTATTTTTGTTCCCCCCCCCCCCCCCCATAAGCAAGATTGAATGTATGCCACTGATGACATGTATGCCATGAACATATGTCAAACTAGTGATATTAATATCACTATATATAAAAGTTGCGGCAGTTGCTGTCATGACACAAACATATTTACAATAATACAAAAATGATTGACAGAAATATTTCGATTGTTCACACGATAAATTGAAATATTTCTAAATACGAGCGGACAGTCACATAACAACTACTTTTTAGTACGCAGTTGTACTTAATTACTATTTTTTGTATTAATTAAAATTTTAGTGTCTAATTTTTTTTGAATTTTGTATTCATTGTTATAAACCATGGTATCGGTACATATATTCTATATCAGAGAGAAATTGTTCAACGCTTTGTCATCTTAAAACATACCTACAAAATACTATGGAAGAATCCTGTTTAAATAGATTGGCTTCGTTAAATATTTATCGTGAAATTGAAGTTAGTCCAGAAGCTTTAATTGATGATTTAGCAAAACAGTCAAAGCGATTAAATTTTAAATTAAAATTTTTTTTTTACATGTTTATTTAGTAATTTTTTATTATAATTATTATTATAACCTTTTGTAGGCCATTGAGGTCCATTACTACTCAACACAGCCTCTTGTATTGATGATTCCTCCGACCCCTAGTATCCGAAAAATTTGGTTGGGCTCGTCTATCCCATTATTATTATTATTATCTATTTTTTTTATATATAACAAAATTACAACTGTGTAAAAAGTTTCTTTTTAATTATAAGTTGAATAAAAATTACATTTTTAATTCTAAATATGTTGTTGAAATACAGTTTTATACTATGTAAATAACAATCTCTTTATTTTTCGAATATCGAAAACCCCTCCTTATGCAACAGTCCTGCGTACGCTACTAAAATCAATTGTAATAATGTGCAATTAGTAGATAATATGTATATTATATACATTTTTTTTTTCAAGTATTCAATATTCAAGCATGATAATAATGTGACTAGTTTCCTAAGTAAACTTTTATAATATGGTTATATACAAATAAAAACTTTTGCAGTCTATTACTACCATCTGTTTTTTCGATTATAGAAAATCGATGCCAGTGTAGCGTGCGATCTACCACTTATATGTGGTCTACTTGTAATTTACCCATTACTATCCAGTTCTTTATCAGTAAAAATGAGAGGCGTACCTATCTATATGCTCCAGTCACATTTAGATCTGTATTATTGGAAGGTGCGGCGGAAAAGTGCACCAGATTTGTTCGTTGGTTTTTTAGATGATATGCGTGCTACATTCATAAATAGCGATTAAAACAAAACTTTTATTTTAAATATTTATTTAACGAAACTTATACTAAGTGGATGCGATTTTGAAGTTGAGATTTTTGAAATACGTGTGAGCCCACCTTCTCGTGGTGTATTTTGGGTAATGCTAAGCGGCTCACAAATCGCGTTCACCAAAAACAGCCTGGTAGATCGCACTCTACACCAGAAACGAGCTTGTAGATCGCACGCTACACTGGCACCAGAAAATCAACATCATTAAGTGTTCACAGATGGGTGCCCACGAGTCTGAATTTCGTTAAAAGAAATACCCTGTCACCTGTATATTATTATAATAATGTGCGACCTACGTTGTATACACATAAACAAAACAACGATAATAGTACGTAAACAACTATAACATAAAGGCAGGTGGAAAAAAAAACCGTGAGCTTTGTTTTATAACAACGAGTTGCATATCCATGCAGTACGCATTTGATGTAAGTACAAATAAACTTTGGTACTGCCAAAACATTATTGTACGTTTCATATCATTAAAATATACGCAATGGCGGTGACGAGGGCAGAGAACCGATCTCGGGAGAAAAAATACCGAAATGTTCGGAGAGGCGAACTCCCGTCTGTTTCGGGGTAATTGTATTTATGATTATTGTGATATCACGTCGGCGACGAAGATTTTTATCTGACCGTCCCCCACGACATCGTGGCGAAGGGTCGTACCAGCGCCCGCGCGTGTTTGTGTGCGAGTGTGTGTTCGTACGAATGTGTTTGTGTAAGTGTGTGACGCGAGTGTGTAAGTGTCGACGACGGAAGTTTGTGGCGAAGGGGATGACTACGATGGTGGTGAGCTCCACCCCTCGGTCACGCCCACAGAGTCACGCACGCAAGCGCTCGTCCATCCCGCCAACGATCCTGCGTAATTGATTATTTCCGTCCGCCCTTGTCAAGCCTTCCGGCCATCGGTACGGCGGTAAGGGGCAAGGCACAGAGGTCGTGATGCGCGTACAAAGACATCTCCCTCGACTCGGTCGGGGCTGCGGGGGAAGGACGTGAAACAAGAAAATAAAATAACTTTACCCCATAAGACCCGTCGCCGCGATGGATCGAGTCTCGCGGGGGTCGGTTTCGGCTTTTACCCTTCTCTCTTTGCACGCGTCTTTTTTTTCCCCCTTTTCTTCTTCGCCGTCGCTCACGGGTCGTGACCACCCACCGATGATCGCTGGGCGAACGAAAAACGGCCGGAACGCGCGTACACAAAAGCGCGCGCGCGCACACATACGTATTCACGTGTAAACGTGCAGCTCGGTCGCGCGCGCGTCCCTCACTAGAAACCGTTCCCGGTCGGTCTGCCATCAACGTCGTCGACGCCGCCGTCCCTTCGTGACATTTTTGGAACACGACTCGCAGACGACTCCGAATCCGGGGCTCCGGTTGCCGACCAACCGAAGGGCTCGTCACCGCGACAATCCGAATACGATCGGTCGTACTGCAGCAGCCGCGGCGAGACATGGTACCCGGTATCCGGCACTGTTTGCGCGCGAAAACCACCACCGCGCGGCTCGTGGTTCCTTCCTTCGCGGCCCAGTTCCCGTCGTCGTAACAACCGGTCCTACGTACGCGGTACGTGCCCGGCACTTGCACGGGTTCGCAGTCGGCGGGTTTCTACGTGCGGCACTTGCGCGTACTACGTTGCGCGGAGCGACGCGTACGTTACCGTAGGTGATTAAGGGCGCCCGCGTGTTCGTCTCGTTCGCCGCCAGTCACAGCACGCGTGCACCAGACTTCAGACATGGACGTCACACTTGGACTTTAGACGTGACAATGTTCCCGTCTGAACGTTTTCCGACCCTACATTGTACCGTCGCTCGCCTGTACTCGGGTGCAATGTGTCGGACCTGAAAACCCGGTTTGCTTTTCACCGTTTACCGCGCGGGGCAACTTATGCGGCCTCGACCCAAGACTAACGCGACCGGTCCGTTTCCATACGCTTCTCGGTGTTTCGGTGCACCGCAGACGTTTTCAGACGACTCCAGACCGCAGTGAACTGTGTTTTTACCTTGTCGGTAAGTTTCGTTCACCACGTAATGTACAATTAATTTCAATATTTTGCTGTTGTTAGGTTGCACAGATATACAAACGTTGTACCGTTTTGTAAATGTTACGAACCATGTGTTCATAGTAGTACCAAATCAATGTTCTTCTGAACGATGTGATCAAATTATTGATTGAAAACCAAGTTCCTTCTTATTTTCAAGCGGTTCCACTTTCGTAAACGATATGTTTAAAAATTAACAAAATTGAATTAGTGATCACCGTATTATTTACGTTTCCGGGCGGTCATCTGGTCGAGATTAAGTTTGAATAATTATTCGGTTATGATTTTCTAAATAATTCGTTGTACATATTATATACACGGGTTTATAATTAAAACTTGATTGACATATTTTAACTGGGTTTAGTTTGGTATACTGGTTTTCAGATTTAATTAAAGTGTCATGTATATTTTGAGCACAGTTACCTCAGAAAAATATTTATTGTAGTCGGTTATTTAATTCATATTGAAAAATAAATGCGTGAAGAATATTAATACATGATTATTTTAGTTTATAAATCAATGGAATAATACTTTTAAGTGTTCTAAATTTCTAAATCTAGGTATCGATGTAAAGTGTAAATGTATTATTTTATACGTTTATAATATATATCAGTGAAATCCTTGTTGCGACAGTTTATACTTGGATAACTGAATTATCGGATTGGTTAAATTTTAAATTTTTCTGTAAAAAGTTATTGATAATATATTAAAGCAGTGGTGGCCAAACTTTTTTTCCTCGGGCCATAAAAAACAACTTTTTTTTATCGCGGGCCATAAAAAAATGCATTCTAAATTTTTTTTTACGTAAATGCAAAATATTACAGTTATACAAATAAGTGCTGTAATATAGAAGACTTTCGCGGGCCAGATATTAAATGATGGCGGGCCGGAGTTGGCCCGCGGGCCGTAGTTTGGCCACCACTGTACTAAAGTACAAAAAATTAAGATATAAATACGATTTGTTAGTATACTCTTCGATTATAATGACGATTGATTATTACGTTTTAGTGGTACTCATCGTCGATTAATTTTAACTATTTAATAACCTTATTTTTAAAAGAATTTATGAGATACATATTTTTCAAACGGTGCAAAAGTCAGTCATTTATAACGTTTATTATTGACAAAATAGTTGATGAATGCATAAGGTTTTTTTCTTCACTTAAAATAACTTTTTAATAACTTTTTTTATTCACTTTTACAGTTCCACGGATTTGTTAAGTATAATTAGTCTAGTTATTAGATAAAGCATAACCGACGTTGGTAGAGGGATGAGATTCCATGATATGATGGATTCGTTAGAATTCGTATACATTGACGCTTTACGCTCGTTACTCAGTAAAACTTGAAATAGAAAATGCTGTTTTTTATATCGGTTTTACATTTTATTGTTGTGATAGTTAGTTATAGGCACGTTTCACATTCGACAGTTTTTTTCCCTCGAGTCATCTACGTTTGATTTGATTTTACTTTTAAATTTTTAACTTAGTTGGCTTTCAACACGAATCGAAAATGCACTATTACAATGTAGCTTTTGTATCGTCGTTTATAATTACGTAGAAAATGACTTACAATAACTGAGTACACCTGTAGTGACCCGGACTCGATAGACTCAGTACGATTTAACGACGAAGTCCACCTTTGTCGCAACTTCCACCTGCAATGGTCCAACGTGGATGAATTGTTGAAAAAAATAAAATAATACTATAAGACTTGGTTAATAATATAATATATTTACTAGGATAGATATTCAGCAGTTGCGCAAATACGCATCAACTCCTTACTTAAAAGTTAAATCATATCTTAATTATCAATAACACTACGTCTATATTCATACACAGGCATTTGGGCGCAGTGGAACATATAGTGTTATATAGTGGTCATGTAACAAGGAAAAGTTTCAAAGCTTTTCGTTGTTCCAAATCAACTAAAAAAATAATATTAATATTTCAAAATTCTCGCTTATGTTAATAAAATTTATACCTATTTAATATATTTGTTAATAACTTGTTTCCCAACCTGAATATAAAAATACCACTATAAATAGTAGTTTTTACATGCTTAGGGTTAATGGAATAAAAGTAGGATAAAGAGATAGTGATTCTATTAGTTTACGTAATACTTGGATTACTACATACCCAATTAATGAATACACACTTGTTTCTAAGCACTATAACAAATGTACCTCTCTAATAAATTTAAATTAGTCATAAGTTATTTGTCTGTTGATTGCTAAAATTTGTATGTGGTACTCAAAAATCAGATAATATTCTCTTTTAGATACATATGCGGTTTATTAAAATGCAGTAAGTCAAATAAGTAAAATTGATTGTCCATCATCCATAATTAATTAATGTGAACAGTTTAGATTTATTAACTGATATTTATTTTCAAGTTCTTATTACCATGTTGATTAGTAACATTTTAACTGTATAACACAGTGTTTTTATTTCAAACCCTAAAAAGTACACTATACTTATGTAAAAATGATTTGTAGTGTCATTTGTTTGGAAATGTAACAATAAGTATGTATATTACATACTTATTATTATAAACCATCCAACCATTTAATTCAGAAGAGTTTAGAGGACGTCTCTTGGTTAGATTAATTTAAGAGCCTACTTGGAGAGTTATCGGAGAGAGTGAGGAAGTAAAAAATGTAATTAGTGTATTTATTCAGGAATTTTAATGATAATACAAATATTTCACCAGGTTAAAAATGATATTTTAGCACAAATTGATATACCGTCAATGGGTTATACGGTATAATATACCGTTGTTTTGTTATTTAATGTCAAAATAAATTAAATATGTATAATACGTACAAATATCTATATATACTTTATAATAAGGATTTTTCATATTTAACACAACAACGCATAATTAAAATAAATATACATGTATATTCTTGTTTCATGTTCTGTATAGTTGTGTTATTGTGTTGAACATGAAATATCCTGATTATCAATGTATTAACGTTTGAAATTTGAAATATATATTTTATGAAATTATATTATCATTATTTATTTTTTTAAATATTTTGTTTTAAGATGACTAAGTAGGTAAGTAGGTTAGTACTATTTGAATAAACCATTGTTATTAAGTATTTATTTATTAGACCTGTGTATTTGTTAAGACTATGCAATTTGTATTTAAAAAAGTCATAAATCTTCCTTAATATCACTAATTAGCTTTTGAAAAAAACTATTCCTTTAGAATGGTAACTCATTTTAATAAAATTCTAGGGATTGTACCATAGTTTCCCTCAACCGGAAAACGATATTTATTTTATTATATACTAGAAGAAATTGATTTTTTAAATTTTAATATAATTAAAATAGCGTTTATATAAGGAGTAATATATGTATGTATAATATATATACATATATTATATATATGTATAAGACAAGTGCGGGATGTCTAGTGAATTGTGATTAATTGATTTAAATTAATTTGAATAAGTGATTGTTTACAATAAATATATATTTCTTTATTTTAATATAATTAAATATATCTTTATAGTCTTATATATTTTTTTTACTTATATTCGATATACGTACACTACTTAAATATAAATACTATAATCTACTTAAATAGTAGTTGATATGTAGGTATTTTATTCTTCAGTAGGTACCTATTGATGTGTTTTATTTTTTTTCAAATATATGTAATTGCAACTTATACTTTTGTATAAATTACACGATACAATAATTATACTGTCAAATAAAATATTATATATAATCAAATGACGTACGTTTCATTTACAAACAATATTTAAACGGTTCAATATTTTTTTTATGAAAACAAATTATGTAAAATATATTTAATCAAATCCTAGGTTATTTAGTTGCGGCCATTTAAAATTGTCAAAATTATAAATACTTTTTGGAAAATAAAGTGTTAAAATAAAAAACTCAAAAGGTACAAGTAAAACAAAATATTTGATGTACATTTAGGTTTAAATACAGATGTGATAGTGAGCTATATATTATGCTATAATACCTTTTTAGAGATATTTTAATCATATTTGAACCATTGTTACAATAACTTTTCAGGAGCTATAGTTTAAATGTATACGGGTTATAATATAATGAGATATTTAAAATTCTGAATTGACAAATGTCACATTCGACGTACGTAAATCTTATAGAAATCAGGTCACTAAAAAATATCAATAAAATCAAATAATAATTTAAAAACAAGTGTGAACATGGTAATACGAAACATTTTCGTATCCAAACTAAAAATTGGTATTCATATTCAATCAAGTGTAATATTCGTGATATAAATGTTTAGTGTACCTTATAAGTTATCCATCGATAATTGATTATGCGTGGGTTAAAAACTATTTACCAGAAAATTGAAATTATTTATTAATGTTATAATATGTATTTACCTCATTAGACCATACGTGTAAATATAAACATAGGTATTCCGCACGTTGAATCCTGTCAGGTGTTAAGTAAATTTTATTAGTGTGGTATATTATGTCATATCTTTATCGCCGACATTTATGAGAAGTAAGTATATAAAAAAATAGAATTTCTCTGAAAACCGGTTTTTATAACGTTATCTCTATATTATACTGATGTGGGTATATCTATGCAATATAATTATGGCTTTACAAAAAAAAAAAAAGAAAAAAAGAAGAAAAATGTAGTATAGTTTTGATTAACCAAGTATACTTACTTGTCTTAATTGTATTGGTGTTTGTCGTAAATTGTCCTGTTCGAAAAACGATTTTAAAAGAAACGGAGGTCGGAGTAAAATATGTATCAAATATAATCCCTTTATACTTTTTAATTGTCAATACCAGTAAAAATAATCAATTATACCATAATATTTCAAAATCCAAGTCCAAGTGTAATACTAGGATATTATGTTAAATATTTTGATCGTCGTTGTAATCTTTACTAACAACAAAATATAGATATTTTCATATAAAATACTTGATATGGTGCACACGGA